TAATAATCAGCACTTAGTCATTATAAATGGTAACAATACCAGTTCATTAATTAATAAAGAAAAAACATGTGTAAGTATGAATGTATCTAAATAAATAATTCTCAAATATTTGGTAATGATAGTAAATAGTAATGACTGTAACTGCAACCTCCCTCCCCTTCCTGATCTTTACCTTGATCTTTTCACACCTTAATGCATAACACCTTCCAACACACTACAAAATGTATTCCTTATGGTGGTCCTTCTTCCCCCATTGGGATACAGCCTCCATGAAGGTGGGGCTTTTTGTTTGTTTTCACTGCTGTATCCCCAGTGCCTAGAAGAGTGCCTGGCATATAGTAGGTGCTCAATAAATACTGGTTTAAAATTTTTAAAAAATTTTTTGGGGGAGAGAGGGAGGTAATTAGGTCTATTTGTTTACTTATTTTAGATAAGGGATTGAATCCAGGATCTCGTGCATGCTAAGCATGTGCTCTACCATTTGAGCTATACCCTCCCCCCTCAATAAATATTGTTGAACTGAATTGCAGTAAAAGTGAATGTCCTCAACCTTCACTATGGCCCAGGCATGTTCTAAGCATTGATTATTTATCTCCTCACGTGAAAATTACCACCTAGGTACAAATTATGAAACTGGTTCAAGGCCACTTGGCAAGTAAAGCTGCAGTACTTGAATCTGAACTCAGGAATTCTGGCTGCAGGACCTGTCACCCTAAAGTACCTCTTTGTGGCACTCAGGAAAGGGGTGTGTGTTCCAGAAACGTCCTAGCAGTAGAAGCAAAAGAGATTTCATAATCATCAGGGAGAGGGAGGCCGAGGATGGTTCCTGAGTGTCTGCTTTGGGGAACTGGGTGGGCAATGGGGGGCCATTCACTGAAAGGACCGAGTTAGAGGAACTTACTTATGACCAGGAATGGCTCAGTTGTTTAGGTATGTCTGCAGTTACCTCTGTAACTTATGAAACTTTTGAGTTGCTATGTAATATCAAACTTTCCTTTCTGGTTTTAGGCTTATTATGTGCTGGAAACTCTGCCAGTTTCTTCAGTTTTAAGCTTTCATGATAACTCCCTGAAGTATTATCTTGAGCCCCAAATTGAAGCTTAGGGATGCTAGGTTATCATCAGCTAGCTAGTGATAGAGTCCAGACCCGATTCTAAAGCTAATTATTTTCAATATGGAAGATAAGGTACCAGAAGTCTTAGTTGACAGCCTATTTCTGACGGGGGAGACTAGGCAGACTGTGACATCGTTAGATAAGATGTATTAGAAACATGGAAGAAAAAGAGGATCTGAGGGCTATAAGGTGAGGGTAGTGGAATTACAGACCTGGTTTTAGATATTACATTTGAGATGCCTGTGGAATTTCTAGCTGGAGTCGTGAAGCAACTTGGTCCATCATTAATGTTGCTTACGAATCTAACAAAGATGAAATATCAAACTTTATTTCCAAAATTAAAATACATGAAGTCTTTGGAATGATGTGTGAAATTCTTCTTTAGCCAGGGTTTAAGGCATGGTGACTTCTAAGTGTGGAATTTCACATCTATATCTATTTTTTTATTATTTTTTTTGTGAAAGGAAGGTTCTCCACTTGCATCTTCTCCCCAGAAAAATATTCTATCATTAACCTAATTTATTAACTCAGTCATCCAACAAATACCTGACTGCCTCCTACGAGCAAAGAAACAGATACAATTCTCAACACATCAAAGATTCAGAATTCTACTAAAAGTTGTACCAAGTTAGTCAATTTTTTTTTAATACAAACAAACAAAAAAACCCCTTCACATTTCATGATTGTGTCTGAAATTTTTTCTTTTTTGAAAAGAAAAGAGAGAACTTTGGAAAAGAATGTTGTTTCTAGGAAAACCTTTTCCTAAATTCCTAATTCTCCAAATACATATGAAGCAACGTTCTCTGCCAGCACAATAAGAATCAGCTTAAACCGGATTTGGTAGAAAATTTTATTGTTCTCCCTACTAATGGCTCAGGATTATAAATTCTTACTGATATTTTTAAGTCCCTTTAAGAGATAATTCCTCAAAGGGGGGTGGGAAGAGATACATTGGGAGTTCGAGATTTGCAGATACTAACAACTATATATAAAATAGATTAAAAAGTTTACTCTGTATAGCACAGGGAACTATATTTAGTATTTTGTAGTAACCTATAATGAAAAAGAATATGAAAATGAATATATGTATGCACATGTATGACTGAAACATGCTGTACACCAGAAATTGACACAACATTGTAAACTGACTATATTTCCATAACAAAGAAAAAAAGATAATTACTGAAATGTTTTCAGATGTCATCATATAACGTCTGAGTTCAACTTTGGAAAGAATCCAGTGAAAGAATTACTAGATGTGGCTTCAGACAAATACCACTGGCCATCAGTTGGTGGTTTTTATACAGGGTGATAAGAATGTGAGGGTTCGCTGTACTTACTTTCTTAGTTTTGTGTATGTTTGAAGTTTTCCATAATAAAGACAAAATATGTATTTTCAGAAATAGAAGCTAGGAGGAAATATGCAAAAATGATAACACTTATGGGTAAGGTACGATAAAAATGTTTTTCCCTCCCATCTTTCTATATTCTCTGTATTCTATTTGAGCATTTTTACTTTTTTATAAGGACAAGACAAAAAAAAGCTTAAAGACGATCCTTATTAATCTCTTTCATACCTTAGATCCTAGCATTGCCACTTTCTGTGTTTGGACCATGAACTGACTGCATTTTACAGATTATCTGAAAAAACACTGACTTTTTTCCTTTTCAGTCATATACTCTGAAAGTTGTAACATGGACCTTTATCCTATCCTGTCTTGCCCTTGTCTTTGAAATTAGGATTCTCCACTTAAGACACCTTGCACAAACTACTTAATCTCTTTGACTCTCAATTCCTTTATCTTAAAGTAGAAAAATAAGCCAAATCAGACATGAATGACGATGCAGGCAAGTAACAAGGCAGGGAACTAACACTTGGTGAGTTTCAGACGTTGTACTAGGAAATTTATACATACTTATTCCTTTCAAAAATAGCTCTTTTAAGTAAGAAAAATATGACTACCTCAATATTAAATGAATAAAGGATATGAACTTACAATGAACTTATTCAATTCACAGTATTTATTGAGCACCTACTATATTTTAGGTACCATGCTGAAAGCAACACCAATGGTCAACAAATACGTGAACAAATCAATCAAAGGAATGCAAGTGAAAACAAAAACAACTTTTCACCCATCAAACAGTGATGCTTTCTCAAGGTTAGATGAATGTGGTGCTTTGGGATCTCTTCTAAAGTGGGCAGACACTCAGATGCATAATCTTCCTGAAGGCACTTGAGCAATGTGTATAAAATGGCTTAAAATGTATGTTTATCTAAAAAATGTCCAACCAGGAGAATGAAGCAGTCCTAGTGACCCAACTGTGGTTTGCAAATACCATTTTGGAAAGTACCAAAATTCCAAAAGGAAAGAGGACTCCTTGGAAAATGGCTACTTCAAGGTGGGAGGTAGGAAATGAACAAGATGAGCCTGGAACATCCTGTTGTGGCAGACAGTGATCAGACTAGGGGGGGTCATATCAAAAGGACACAGGAGTGGGGAGGGTATAGCTTAGTGGTAGAGCACATGCTTAGCATACACAAGGTCCTGGGTTCAATCTCCAGTAGCTCCATTAAAAAAAAAAAGTTAAAAGAACAGAGGAGCCAACTGGAAGAGGATGCCACATACTAAGCATGGAACAATTCGAGCATCAGTGAAAGTACAGCTTAAACGGACTTAAACATACTGCACATGCTTCACACACACAGTCCCCCAAACTCACTGGTTACCATGCTAGAATGCTCGGGTACCAAGTCATTATTTTGCAAACCAATAAAGAGAAAGAAGAAGCATTTATCCTGCTTTTCCTTATTGTAACATGGGTAACCAAAGAGTAGTTGAAAGAAGTTTTTCTTCATAAAAATATTTGTTAATAAAGGAAGAGATAATATATCATTTTGCAATCCCTAATAAACAGATTTATCAATTGAACATCAATGGCTGCTAACACCATAACAAAGACATCTGAATAGTATGTCTCTCAGTGTTAACAACAACAAAAAAGTTGATCGTGCCTCTAGATAATGACCAACTTATAAGATATACCAAGGGAAGAGGAGCAGGTTAAACTACCCGAGGGGATGTAGCCAGCAAAAACGAAGCTCTGAGAAACTCTACAAGGCAAACAAACTAGTCTCTTCAAAAAATTGCCAGTGGGGGAAAAAAATGGATGAAAGAGAATGCATAGATTGAGACTTAAGAAACATTAACAAGCAACTGCAATTTGTGGACATTTGGATCCTGAAACCTTCTTAAAAAATTGACATTTAATAAACAATTAGTAATTGGAACACTGGCTGTCAGATATGTAATGGCATTAAGGCAGTATTGTCAATTTTTTAAAGGTGGGAACGTCTTTTCTAAAGTTGTGATATATTTTACAGGTATATACAAATTTTTATAGATGAAATGATGTATCTGGGGTTTACTTCAAAAATAACACGGAGGTTGGGGAGTGGCTGGAAATACAGATAAAAGAAGCCTGGCCATGAGCTGATAAATTATTGAAGCCAGTCACGAGGCCCTGGGGTACACTGTATGATTCTGTAAGAATAGAAAGTTTTTTAAAAGTGTACATATTTTGATCTAACATTTTCACATTTAGAAATTCATCTTAAAGATACAGCACACATATACAAAATAATATATGGGTAAGGATATTTATTATAGGATTGTTTGAAAGAGCAAAAATACTAAGTTACTGGCAATGAGTAGGTGCTGGAGATCTGTATTTGTAGAACAAAGGCCCTACCTTCAGTCCTTGGGTTCTGACAAGAGTTTAGCTTTGGCTACACTGATCTGGTTTTGAGATGCAGAATTCACCGCTGTTCATTTCTAGTTTGTAATTTTAGTTTTGCTTCTCTTGAGATGTAGTTATATTTGGAGGTGGTTTTAGATTTCTAAATGGGCAGATTTCTTTTTGCTACTCTTTTGTTAATTTCTAATCTTCAAAATTTATAACATTAAAAATTTTTTTTTAATGTTTTAAAAATGAAGACCTTCTCATGATAATGACACTTTACTACTGTTCTTCAGAATGAATCATCCTAACAAGGCTTTTTGATATTTGATACATTCATAAGGCTCTCCTCTCACACACATGCCTTAAGTTTATTACTACTTAAATATTAGTATAAAGTAATACTGTTATTGACAGTAACTAGTATTTATTGAGCATAGGCTTTATATAAAATATCTGGCAGTCCTCGTGAAAACTCTGTTAGGTAGGTATAATTATTACTGCTTAAAAATAAGTAAACTGAGGAACAAAGACATTGCGTAATTTGCCCAATGCTATACAGTCAGTAGTTGGCGGAAGTGAGATAATGTTAAGTAAGGTGTATGGCAAAAGGCACATTCACAAAATATTTTAAGAGGGTCATTTTCTATTGGGAGTTCTCAGAAGTTTAACACACTTTGAGTAGTAACAGGAGGCTTTTCTATATTCATATTACTTTTTTTTTCCATATAAACTCTCTGATGCTTAGTAAACAGTGAGTGTGAGGCAAAAAAAATTCCCACATTTATTGAATTCTCTTCTGCGTTCATCAGGGTTATCTGATGTTCCATAACGGAAGGGACAAATGAAGGTTCTCTGCCAATAATCACATTACATTACGCGTTATCTAATACTGAGTCAGGCGTGGATTCCATATGAAGGCTTTCCCACACCCCGAACATCAAGGCTTTCTAACCAGTATGAATTCTGTAGTGTTCAATGAGCTGTGAGCCAAGGATAAAGGCCTGCCCACAATCTCTACATTCATAAGGTTTGATACCGGGATGAATTCTCTGATGTTCTGTAAGTTGTGAACTACGAATAAAGGCCATTCCACATTCCCTACACTGATAGGGTTTCTCACAGGTATGGATTCGCTGATGGTGAGTCAGCTGTGAAACCCGAATAAAGGCTTTCCCACATTCCTTACATTCGTAGGGCTTGTCACCTGTATGAATTCTCTGATGCTGAATAAGGTATGAACTACGACTAAAGGCCTTCCCACAGTCCTTACATTCGTAGGGTCTGTCACCAGTGTGAACTCTCTGATGTCGTGTAAGCTGTGCGTGCTGTCGGAAGGCCTTCCCGCATTCCTTACATTCGTAAGGTTTCTCCCCAGAATGAATTCTCTGATGTCGAGTAACTTCTGAGCTATGAATAAAGCCCTTTCCACATTCCTTACATTCATAGGGTTTCTCCCCAGTATGAATCCTCTGATGGACAGTAAGCTGTGAATGCTGTCTAAAGGCCTTCCCACATTCCTGACACTGATAGGGTCTAGCCCCTGTGTGAATTCTCCGATGAACAGTAAGTTGTGAACCACGAATAAAAGCCTTGCCGCAGTCTTTGCATACATAGGGTTTCTCACCTGTATGAGTTCTACGGTGCAGAATAAGTTGCGAGTGCTGTCTGAAGGCCTTTCCGCATTCTTTACACTCATAGGGTTTGACTCCCGTATGAAGTCTCTGATGCAGAATGAGTTCTGAAGTGCGACCAAAGGCCTTCCCACAGTCCTTACAGTCATAAGGTTTCTCACCTGTATGAATTCGCTGATGTTGAACGAGGTGGGAGGTACGACTAAAGGCCTTCCCGCAGTCTTTGCATTCAAAGGGCTTTTCACCAGTGTGAGTTTTCTGATGTTGAGTAAGGTGTGAGCCACGGCTGAAGGCTTTCCCGCATTCATGACATTCTGTCAGCTTCTCGCCGGTCTCGTTGCTGTGCCGTAGGGGGAGGGACACATGATGCTCAAAAGTGGGCATGTTCTCATAGGCAATTTTCACTTGGTTGAAACAGCACTCATGATTTACTTGTTGTCTTTCAAACTGGCCTCTGTATGCCCAGTTATCTCTGAAACTGGAGCCCTCAAAATCACAGCATTTAAAGTCTTCCATTAGCTCCCAATTGAATGACTCTACTTCAAAGATATCTTTTTGTAGAAATTTCTCACACTTGGACTCCAAATCTAGAGGGAAAAAAATTACATGCAACTTGTTCTCTTTTAAGAGAAATAAAGAAATTCTACAGCAGATTAGAGAGACAAAGTGAAAATTATAACCACAATAGATGAATTGCTTGTGTAGGTCTCAAATATTGCCGTACAACTTCTAAAAGCCCACAAAAGCACAAATATGATGGCTCAAATGGTGCCAGAAAGGAGAAAGAAAACAAGTTAAGCCAGTGGTTCTTTTTTTTTTGGTTAGGGGAGGTAATTAGGTTTATTTATTTATTCTTAGAGGGGGTACTGGGGATTGAACCCAGGAACTCGTGCATGCTAAGCATGTGCTCTACCACTGAGCTACACCCTCCCCAAGCCAGTGGTTCTCAATTAGGAGAGATCAGAATCATCCAGGGAGCCTTTTAACAAAACAAATGTCCAAGAACCACCCCACACTGAGTCAGAATGTACAAGAAGAGGGCCAAGGCATGTGTGTACAGACATTTCTACATACATATTTTAAAAGTAATACATGCATTTTAATTGAGGTAAGATTCACATAAGATTTCCCATTTGATCATTTTAAAGTATACAGCTCAGTGGTCTGCCGTACATTCCCAGTGTCCCGCAGTCGTCGCCACTGTCTAGTTCCAGAACACTCTCGTCACCCCAGACGGAAACCTGGCCGCCCATTAAGCCGCCACTCCCCACTCCCTCCCGCCCCTGGCAATCACCAGTGGCAGAGAACCACTAATTCTGTGTCTCTGAATTTGCCTGTACAGGGCATTTCATATAAATAAGGCATCTATATTTTTAACACTTTGATGCTGCTGCCAATCAAAATAAAAATCTCTTTTTCACAGCCTCCCCATCGCACTTCAGATAAATCCTAATTCAATGCCACGGTTCACAGGTTCTTGGAAAAGAGGGTCCCCTGCTTGTCTCTGTTGTCACTCTGTCGCTCTAGCTCAACCAAGGACAGTGCATCTTCATTGGGAGCACTTTCCCCTTTCCTCCCCATGTAACGAACCACAGGCCTCCTCTGAGCATCTAGAATCAATCTAGGTCTTTTTCATCTCAGGCTGCTCATCAGCCTCTTCCGTCTATCAGGAATCCTGCCCGGGGCTCTTTGTACAGCTGCTTTTCTCTTCAGGTCTCCGGTTAAAACTCGCACTTTCACAACAGCTCTCAGACTGACAACCCTAAGTGTACACCTGGATTCTCTCTCCCACATCATGTGTCCTATTGTCATAACACTTCTCTCAGTTGCACTTAGAGTTCCATTTACTTACTCATCTGTTGATTTGTTTGGTTTCTTATCTCCCTGATGGCAGAAATAATGCCTTTCTCACTAGCCATGGTCACCAAACCCTAGCACACAGTAGGCTTTTAATAATGGATTGTTAGATGAATAAATATTGGATTCTAAAGACAGACCAACGCAACACAATAAAAAGGCCAGAAATAGACAAAAGTTTATATGGAAACTGAATGTATTATAAGGGTGGTATCTCATAGGAGAAAAGGACAGTTTTTTTCCCTCCCTTTCCTTTACTGAAGTACAGTCAGTTAACAATGTGTCAATTTCTGGTGTACAGCACAGTGTCCCATTCCCTCACATACACACACACACACATATACCTATCTTCATTTTCATATTCTTTTTCATTCAAGGCCACTATAAGATACTGAATATAGTTCCTTGTGCTATACAGAAGAAATTTGTTTATTAATTTATTTTTATAGATAACGGTTATCATTTGCAAGTCTCAAACTCCCAGATTTATCCCTTCCCACCCCTTTCCCCTGGTAACCATAAGATTGTTTACTATGTCTGCGAGTCTGTTTCTGTTTTGTAGATGAGTTCATTAATGTCCTGTTTTTTTACTTTTTTTGGGGGGGGCGTAATTTATTTATTTTAGAGAAGGTACAGGGAATCGAACCCAGCACCTTGTGCATGCTAAGCATGCAGCTTTACCACTTGAGCTACACCCTTCCCCCCTCTATTTTTACTTTTAGATTCCACATATGAGTGATATCATATGGTATTTTTCTTTCTCTTTCTGGCTTACTTCACTTAGAATGAAGTGAAAGTCCATCCATGTTGCTGCAAATGGCATTTTATTCTTTTTTATCGCTGAGTAGTATTGAGAAAAGGATAGTTTTTATAATAAATAATTTGGGACAACTAGATAGTCATTTGGAAAAAAATAAAATTGGATTCGTATGTTATACTACCATATACCAGAATAAACTCTGAATAGAGTTTTAATGTTAAAATAAAATAGAAACCAGACAAACACTATAAGGAAACATGTAGATTACTAGGTTATTTTTAATAATAATCATCTAATTACTAGATTATAAACTAGGTTTAGGGAAGCCTTCTAACAATGAAACAATGACTCAAAATCCAAAAGCACCAAAAGAAAAGACTGATCAATCCCACTGTGTAAAGGTGAAAAACAAAACAAAAAACGTGCAATGTCAACAAAAAACACCAAAGGCAAAGTCAAAAGACAAATGACAGAGAAAGAATTTGAAACTTATATCACAGATAATGGGATGATATTCACAGTATATAAAAGGCTCTTAAAAACTGAGAAATGTCCTCAAAAAGTTAAACATACAATTACCAGCTGATCCAGCAATTTCATTCCTAGTATATACCCAGAAGAAGTGAAAACGGGGACTCAGATACTTATACAGCAATGCTCAGAGCAGCCAAAAGGTAGAAAGAACCCAAGTATCTATCAACAGAGGAATGAATAAGCAAAATGTGGTACATACATGCAATGGGATGTTACTCAGCCTTTAGAAGTAATGAAATTCTGATAAACGCTACAACATGGATGAAACTTGAAGATACTATGCTAAGTGAAAGGAGTTGGATACACAAGTGCATGACTACATTTACACGAGGTACCTAGAATTGTTAAGTTCATAGAGACGTAAAGAAAAGAGGTTACCAGGGACAGGAGGGAGGGGGAAATGGAGAGTTACTGTTTAATGGGTACAGAGTTACTGTTTGGGAGGATGAATAAGTTCTGGAAATAGACAGTGATGATGGCTGCACAACACTGAATGTAATTAACGCCAGTGAATTGTATACTTAAAAATAGTCAAACAGGTAAATTTTATGTAATGTTCATCACAAGTTTTAAAAATCTAATTTTAAAAGTCCCCCACTCTCCCACCAAGAACTACAAGGACTTAGAAAACACACCAACCAAATATTCTGTGAATGATCCTAATACTTGTTTTGGAATAAACAGTAATGGGCCTACTAGCAACAAAATAAAGGAAGTTCAGTGGAGTCATACTGTATACAGTAAAGTCTTCAGGTCTGTCTTTGCTCAGAAAAAGACATTCAAAGATACTATTTTCACACCATTATCCAATACAAGAAACCAGGTGTCCTTTGAGGAATAGCTGATTTCAGGGATGAGGCAGGAAGAATGTAACACAAGCCTAGAAAATGTTAAGTACCAGAAAATAAGGAAGTAGTCAAAAAAGGATGAGGGCATGCCAAAAGAACCCAGGAGCCAACCTGTAGGTGTTCTCAATGGCCAAAGCTTGAACAATATGAACAACAAAATAAGCAATGATAAATTTGGACTGTAATTCATAGAATATAAAAATAAATAAATAGTCCATACTGATAGAAACAAATCACAATAAATGGTCAGCCCTTTCTTACAGAAGGATTCCAGTTAATAAATGTAGAAGCAATAAGGGACATAGAAAATCAAAACTAGGCAGCACTGTTGTATTAACTATTACAGATAAGATCCACCAGTGGATGCTAAAACCAGTGGGCAAAATGAGGAGAAATGGTATATCTATATAGTCTCAAAGTATTTCCCTCCAAGATACAATTACAATTGGAAAAGGGAGAAACATGAGAGACACCTTAACCAAGGTGATCAAGGTTAACACTACCAGTAATAAGCCATATCAACCCCAGGTAAACCCTGATGTGATGCCCAGAGAAGGATACAACATCACTTCTGTGGTATTCCTGCCAAAGATGCAGAATCTCCATCTAATTGTGAGAAACTATCAGGCAAGTGAGAGACAGTCTCCAAAAAAGTACTCATCAAAAGGTTCAAGGTCATGAAAGGAACCATCACAGATGGGAGGATGCTAAGGAGACACAACAACTAAATCCAGTGTGGGATCCTGGACTGGATCCCGGGATAGAAGAAAGACACTAGGGAAAACCCAATAATATTCTAATGAGATCTGTAGATTAGTTATTAACAGTGTGCCAGTGTTAATTTCCTGTTTTTGATAACTGTACGATGGTTATGTAAAATGTTTACCTTTGGAAGCTGAGTGAAGAGTACATGGGAATTCTCCGTAATAATTTTGTAAATTTTCTATAAACCTAAAATTGTTTCAAAATAAAAATATTTCTTAAAAAACTTCACTAAAAAGAAAGAAATTCTATTTCAGTCTTGAGGTGGGAAGAGAAATACAGGTTTAAGCATGTTTCTTAAAGTCAAAGACTATTCTATTATAAAGCAATAGGAAGTACAACTTCAAAATTGCTTGAGGGTAGAAAAGGTAAGAAGAATTAGGAACAGAAAATGTAAAATAAAATGGCAGGATCAAAACACATTAATTATCACAATAAATGAGAATGGATTAAATTCTATTTAAGTCAAGGAATCTCAGCTTGATTAAGAAAGGCAACTAATTCTGATTACAATGGACACATTTAAAATGGCAATCACTTTTTTAAAAGGATAAGCAAAGATACATCATAATTTTTTAAACACACACAAACAGGGCATTTGATATTAATATCAGAAAAAAATAGAATTCAAGGTTAAAAGCACTAAGTGTGAAAATGAAGGATGGATTGTACTGGTAAGAACACAATTTGAAACAAGGATCTATTTTTCACCTTTATAAAAATGTAAAACGTAGCAAAATACATAACACAAGAAACAGCTCTCAGATTTGATAGCACAAGTACAGAGAAAGTTAAAAGGATAAGCAGACTCTAAATCATATCATCAACAGGGTTATAAAAAGGTGAGCACCCCATCCAAAGAACACTAGTTTTAAATATATGTGGAACATTTTCCAGAACTGGAACAACTTGACTTGTTGACAACACTGGAAGAGAAAAGGCAATGGAATGAGTTCTTCTTTGGGCTACACTGAACTCCATACTCAGTAAAAATATCCTGCCTATCCAAGAAAGAAGGCAGGATAAAGACATTTTCATGTGATCGAAAACAGAGAATTCTGTCAACAGCAGACCCACACAAAAGGAACACTTAAGGGTGTTCTTCAGATAGAGAAAAAAATGATCCCAGATGAAAATAAATGACAACAATACAGAGAAGTCAGGAGGGGGTAACTGATAACTACGTATTCAAAGGCTCTAATTTGGTCCAGCAAGTGCCAATTACTGACACTTGCTAACATTTGGTGGTCAATATTGCCTGCATTGTACTGGGCATTTTCACATATTAAGTCATACAAGAGGCACAATAACTGTACATGGAAGGCACTATTTTTATCCCATTTGCAGAGGAGAAAACTGAAGCACAGAGAATTTAAGAAATTTACCTAAACTCACAGATCTAGTAAGTGGCAGAGCCTCGATGTGAACTCAGAAAATCTGATTCCAGAGTCTTCCCTCAGCCACCACACATCCTCACCTCTCAAAAGTTAAGAGAGTAAATGAATTAGGTAAAGTGAGAAGCTGTTTTAAGAAAATAAGTATTTTTTAAAGGAATGAAGACACTTGTAGAAAAAAAGGATCCAAAGCCCAGGTAAAACGGCTGCGACTGGGGAAGAAGGGGGCACATCTCTGTTTGAAAGGGGAGGAAAATATGAGAGAAGAACAGAGAGGAATTAATGGGGATGAGGGCAAGGTTCCCTTGGAAGCTGATGTTTGCAAGGTCTTTGCTTTTCATGTCTTCATGTCTCAGGCTTTTATTCCTCAGTTTTTGGAAGGGCTTTAAAGAGAGTTTCCTGACAACAACTCAGGTTACTGCTATGAGTTGACTGACTCGCTGGCTGTTATTCCCAATGACCTCCCGCCATTGCCTCACTCACCCGGGCACCATGGTCCTGTCATGTCGTTTGCAATCAACCAGGGTTCCTTCCCTTGCTCCAGTAAGGAGATGACATCGGGCTTAGAGATGGAAAGTCCTGTTTATAGGAAAAGAAATGGGGCATGAACGTGCTGTTCCAAAATTCAAACCCAGTCCTTTGGTCACCAAGGAAGAGAGACAAGTACATGAAGGAAGGTGTGAAGGTTGTCCAAAGGATGGGAAATGGCGGTGCCAATGGAACTACCCATTTCCGCTTCCACAAAGCACAAAACAGTTCCCTTGGAAACAGAGAGCAGAAACCTAGCCAGAAACTTTAAGTCTCCCTAGAAATTCACCATGAAGCAACCAGAAATTTTATTTTTCATTTGCCCTCTCCATCCCCCTAAGCCATTCCTCGCTATTCCTGGCCCTGCTCCGTGCCCGGCTCTGTGCTTCAGACAGCTTACCTGTAAGGATTGTATTACTCTGGCCCTGTCATTTCTCACTGGGTTTGGTAGATGGAAAGCATCAGTAGGAGGTCAGCGGGCAGGAAGAGACAAGAGTTCAGGACATCTCTTAACCCTCTCACCCCCCTACTGGCCCAGGCCCCCTGGTTGCTAGGGCTGCTGCCAGCTGGCCCTTCGTGACTCCAGCTCTCACCCCCTTCCGGTGGTAGTGCTTCCTCCTTTTACCCCTTCCACCCAAAGGTAGCCCCTGGGGGCTTTGTTTCCTGGCTGCTCCTGTATTATACAACGTCCTTACCTAGTGAGACCAAGTTACCGAAGTTCTCCAAAGTCACATCCCTGTACAAGTCCCTCTGGGCGGGTTCTAGGCACTTCCATTCTTCCTGAGAGAACTCTACGGCCACATCCCTGAAGGTCACCAATCCCTGAAACAACCCGTGAATTACTAGTAAACGAAATGACTTTTATTTTTTAAATTTGTTACAAAAAGTTTTCAGAATACACAAAGTACAGAGCATAGTCTCACAACCCCCATGAATCCAACACTGTGCTTCAACAGTTTAACAAGACTTAGCAGATCTGCAAATGTTAACCACCGTATATAAAAACAGATAAAAAACAAATTTATTCCGTAGAGCACAGGGAATTATATTCAATATCTTATAATAACCTTAATGAAAAAGAATATGAAAATGAATATATGTATATACATATGCATGACTGGGATATTATGCTGTACATCAGAAACTGACATGTTGTAACTGACTATACTTCAATTAAAAAAAAGACTTTGCAAATCTTGTTTCATTTCTTCCTGTTTTTTGCTCCTGGTGTATTTTGAGGAAAATCCCACATATCAAACATTGTACTATTTTACCCACAAATACTTTAGTATCTAACAGATTCGACTTTTTAAAAAAGCCATAATAACCAGAATATTATTATCATACTTAACATAATTAACAATAATTTCCTAATAACCAGATCAAGTTTCAAACTTGAGAAAATCCCAATTTTCTCAAAAGAGATTTTTTTTTTTTTACAGTTGGTTTGTTCAGATCAGGATTCAAACAAAATCCACACCTCGCACTTAGTTGATAGATTTCCTCAAGTCTCTCAAATCTCTAACAGCCCCCACAGACCCTTTAACACACACGCACACAGTTGGACCCAGAGAGACAAGCAAATATGTTAGCAAATGCTTTGGGAAGTGGGACATATACCAGCTGCGATGTGAACCCATGACCCTCACTTAAAGCTGGCATCCTAGAAGAGCTAGTCCCTCAGTGAAATGGTGGGTTCCAACAAAAACCTGGCTGGAAAAGAGGGACAAGGAACCTGCTGCACTCCAGTTACAAAAAAAAGGATTATCACTGATGATAGTACCATCACTACCAATAACCTCGCCTCTGCCAGTCTATAACGAAAGGCCTACTCTCAAGTAAGTCTGGAATTCAAAGTAACATCATTCATGCAGTTGGGGGAAACCCCAGGAGAAAAATTAAAGTGTGCTGAATTTGAGAACACTCCTAGGTGCAAAACCTCTCTGAAGAACGGCATCATCTCTACCAGCTCCCTAAGGACTACTACATGTTAAGTCAACTAAGATAATTTAATGGGAAAAGATTAGTCTTTTTAACAAATAGTGCTGGGACAAGTGGCTATCCATATGCAAAGAAGGTGGACCCCACCTCAAGCCATATATAAAAATTAACTCAAAATAGATCATAGATCTAAATGTAAAAGCTAAAACCATAAAACTCTTAGAAGAAAACATAGGAGTATAACTTCATGACCTTGCTCAGGCAATGGTTTCTCAGGTATGGCACCAACACAAAAAAGAACTAAAAGATAAATTAAACTTCATCAAAATTAAAAACTTTTGTGCTACAAATAACTCCATCAAGAAAGTGAAAATCCAACCCACAAAACTGGGAGAAAATATTTGCAAATTGTATACTTGGTAAGGGGCTTGAATCCAGAGATATATAAAGAACTTTTATGACTCAATAATAAGAAGACAACCCAATTATAAACTAGGCAAAAAATCTGAAGAGACATTTCTCCAAAGTAGATATACAAATGGCCAATAAACATATGAAAGGATGCTCAGCATCACTAATCAAATCACTAATGCAAGTCAAAACCACCATAAGATGCCACTTCATACCCATTAGGATGGCTATTATCAAAAAAACAAAATAACACATAGTGATGAAGATGAGGAGAAACTGGAAGGAACCCTCTTACACTGCTGGTAGGAATGTAAAATGAGGCAGCCACTCTGGAAAACAGTTTTGACAGTTCTTCAAAATGTTAAACATAAAGTTATCATGTTACCCAGAAATTCCACTCCCAGGCGTAGAGAAGTGAAAACATATGTCCACCTAAAAACACTGTTATACGCCAATGTTCATAGCAGCGTTATTCATGACAGCCAAAAACAGAACAACTCAAATGTCCATAGACTTATAAAATGATGAACAAAATGTGGTCTATACGTATCCACGGTATATTGATTGGTATAAAAATGAACGAAGTACTGATACATGCTAACACATGGATGAAGCTTGAAAACATTATGCTAAGTAAAAAAAAAAATCACACACAAAAGATCAAATAGTGTATGATTCCCTTTACATGAAAAGTACAGAATCAGCAAATCCATAAAGTCAGGAAATAAATTAGTGGTTGCCAGCAGATGAGGAGAGGGATTTGGGAGTGACAGTTAATGCAAACAGGATTTTTTTTGGGTGGTGATGTAAATGTTCTAAAATGGATTGTGCTGATGGTTGTTGCACAACTCTGCAAATACACTAAAAACCACTGAACTATACACCTATATGGGTGAATTTCATTGTCTGTGAATTATATATACACAATAAATAAAGCTTTTAAAGTTACTGAGGACCTCAAAGAACTTTTGTGAATGCTGGTTATATCTATCAACATATACCATATTAGAAATTAAAAGTGATAAATTTAAAAAATATTAATTTATTTGATAACCAATAATAAACCTGTTATATAGTAACATAAATAATATACATTTTATGAAAAATAACATCAAAATAAAGAAGAATTTAGTAGCATTGTTTTACATTCTTGCAAATCTCTTTAATGACAGGCTGAATGAAAGTTAGATTTTCACAACTTTGGTGTTCAATCTGCTGGGATAACACATGTCATGTAGCTTTTGGGAAACTCCACTATACACTGTTTAGAGGTGAGTGAAAAAGGCAGATAACATGTTAATATTATTATAAAAGTAATTCTGACCCCCAGACTTCCTGAAAGGATCTCAAAGTCTTCCTATATCACACTTTAAGACCTGCTGATCGAGTGCTATACAATTTAACGTGAATGATTTGAAAACACATTGTGTTGAGTGAAAAAAATCTGGTAAAAAATATAAAGTGTAATAACTGTACATCGAATTTAAAAACAGAAAACTCAACAGTATACTGTTTAGTATGCATTCATATATGGTAAAAGTACTGTAAGACTCAAAGTACCAACAGACAAAATTAAAAGCAGTCATTAACACTGGCAAGAATGGTAATGCGATATGGGAAGGGTTGTGGGAAGGTGTAAAGGTGGCTTAGATGGTATGTTAATCTGGGTGATGAGTATATCAATACTCATTTTATTATTCTTTATACCATATATACGTCATAGATTTTTTTGTTTATATTCTTTGATAGTGTGAAATGTTTTACGATTTTTAAAGAGGGGGTGACATTTAAAAATAGAAGAGAAAAGGAAACTACCTGGGTTAATGGAAAAGATCAAAGTTATCTTATCTGCAGCTCTGTTCAACCATGGTTCTTATAAAGGTGGCTCTTATATTTCTCTCAGGAGAACATATTTCTGGTGGGGAGGGTATAGCTCAGTGGTAGAGTGTGTGATTAGCATGCACAAGGTGCTGGGTTTAATCCCCAGTACCTCTATTAAAAAAGAACATATTTCTGCTTCATCCGTGCTGTGCTAAGAGCACTGAGCACATATGTGGAAACCGTTGGAGAAGAGAGGGCCACCAAGGGCGGTGGGGCACCATCCCTCATTCCCTGGAATAGAGGAACTGGGAGCAGGTTACTGAATGGGGCTTAGCAAGACAGGGAAGTTTCAGGATAAAGAACACAAATGTTGATAAGACGTTATTTCAAGGATGGAGGAAATTTCAACTCACCTGGGTCATGGCTTTTAGAACTACCTAACCTGCTTGGATTTCTTGAGCTTCTTCTCTTGAACAAGGCAGAGTCCTGAAAAAGCAGAGTTGGGGGAGAAGGGACAGATCTCTTATAAACCAGCTTGCCTCAGCACGCCTAAATAGATGAGCTTAAAACAACTATACCTCCAGTGTCCCCGCTCTGCTCCCTCTCCCCTCCCCTTGTCCCAACACATGACACCAATGTGTTCATGACCTTCAGAGTTAACAAAACCCAGCCCCTCTCCAAACCCTAGGGAACTGAAAGATGGCTCCAAGGCAGGGATGTGCTCCAGCACTGACACAAGAATCCAAGCACCTCAGCAGGAGGGATTCTGGCCTGGATAGCCCCCAATTTGTTGATGGTAATCTATACCCTAGACGGGGCCTGGACAGCTCCTACCTGTTCCAAGCAGGCCTTCCTTTGCAGCTGCAACAGGAAGGATCACAACTCAGATTCACTCAGACTTAAGGACGAGGACAGTGCCTACAGGCTAGGAGCACAGCATATGTGTGCAGGCCAAACCTGGCTGAAAGACATCCTTAAATAAAGTCTTCCAGCTTCTCTGGGCTCAACTGGCAAAACCTCTTGGGCACCTCTACTTGCCTCTTCGAAGTCCAAAAAGGGGCCAGGCTGTCCATACCAGAGGCTCCATCAAAGCCCCTCGCTGTACTCACCAGACAGGAGCAAGAAAACCACAGTAATGCAGGCATCTTACAAGCATACCTGCACATCCAGAGTACTGATCCAAGGGGAAACTTGATTTCTGGAAGCCTCATGGCCCTAAACTCTTTACTTTCCTTCTAAGGCCCCCACTGCTGCTTCCCTGCAGAACAGCACTTCCTCACTGGCTGGCAGCTGCTGAGGCTGGAGTTGTGTGGAGTTCGGCCTACCTCAAGGTAATGAGAACTCAGGAGTTTTAAGGAGGGCAGTAAGGCTGGTTCTAGTTAGAGGTGCAAGCAGCTTCCCATGGTGGGAGGTCAGAAGGAAGACTAGTTTAATCATTGGGGGGTGGTGTCAAGGAAAATTTCCTCTACATTATAGAATTCGATTTGAGATCTAAAAATCAGAGAATTTAAACAGAAAAGGGAGAGAAAAGCATTCTGAGCACAGTGAAGAGCAGTGGCAAAAACAGAGGACTAAAAGTATACGGTGGATTTGGAGAGAAGAGAGTAAGTGGGAATGACTTGTCGAGTTTAGGGAAAGGTCTAAACCGTGCTGTCCAACAGAACTTCCTGTGATAGTGAAACTCTCTTTATCCGGTACTGTCAATTACATAGCCATGAGCCACATGTGGCTACTAAGCATTTGCAGTGTGGCCAGTATGACCGAGGAACTGAATTTTTAATTTAACTTTAATTAATTTAAATTTAATTAACTCTAAAATCTAGAGAAAGAAAATGCTGATGACACTAAGGGTTGGAAAACGAATATGTATGAATGAAATTAGCAACTATGAGGGAAAAGACCAGGTCTCATCATCTCTGTAACTGGCACCTGCCACAGTAACTGAAGGATAAAGGTGAGCAACGAATACTGACTGAATACATTTGAATTTGGTTTTCACCCATTAATGAATGGAAGGCCACTGAAGAATTTAAAGAAGGAAGTGACAGGGCCCATATGGCCAGGTTATTTTATTGGGGAGGAGTGGAACTGGAGTCAGGGAGATCAGCTGAATGGTGCTTATACTTTCCCAAGTCAACAAAGGGCCTAAGCCAGGACAGTGACAGTGGAAATGAGGAGGAAGAGGATGAATTCAAGGTGCAGAGAAGTAAAATCAACAGGCTCTGGCATCTAACTGGATATGGACACAGAGAAAGAAAGAGGAGTCAGGATTCTTTCACATTTACTGAGTTCCTACCTCAACTGGCATGGTTCTATGTGTAAGGAAGTTAACAAATCCAGTCCCTGTCCCAGTGGGCGCTCACGTTCTAATGGAAAGAGACAATAACAAATATTGATATAGTAACGCTGATATTCCTATTTATACGTCAAGTGGCCAAAGTCTCATGGAGAAAAAAGATTAAGGGGATGGGGAGCATTGGGGGAGTGGAGGGCAGCCTGAGAAGGCTTTTCATTGGGAAGGTGATGTGTAAGCACAGACAGAATGGAGGGTGTGAGCTACACAGGTGTCAGCCAAGGGAACAATAACTACAAGGTCCTCGGTCCTCAAGGCAAGAACAGGCTTTCTTTGACGACAAAGTGGAAGGAGACTAGAGAGGCTGGAATGGGGTTTGCAGGAAAAAGAGGGTCAATGAAGGAGATGGAAGGTGGGTCACAGGGGGCTTGTCGGCCATTGTGAGAACTTTGGTAAAAACTCTTGAGTAAGACAGGAAGACACTGAAACATTTTAAGCCAAGGAATGGCATAATCTGATTTACCTTTAAAGGGATCACTCAAGGGAAATGGACTAGGAGGACAAGGGGGAAGCAGGGAGCCCAGTGAGGTTACTGCAGGAATCCTGGCAAGGGGTGAGGAGGGCTCGCATTAGGGTGGGATGGTGGCAGGGGAGGTAACACGAGCCAATCAGATTCTAGATATTCTCTGAAGGTAGAGTTGACAGGATTTGCTGATTTTAGGTATAAAAGAAAAAAAAGAGGACAAGAGGATGCTAAGGTTTTTGGCTTGAGCGACTAGAAATATGAAGCTGCCATTTTTTAACACAATGGACTGTGAGAGCAGCAGATCTGGATGGACCAATTATGAGTTCTGTTTCACCTTAATACTTGAGATGATTATTATACATCCAAGTGGAAGTGCCAAGTGTCCATTAGACATTTGATCCTGGAGTTCAGGGGAAAGTCCAAATGTAGGAATGTAAAAGTGGAAGTTACTGATGTACAGCTGATAATTAAAGCTCTGATACTAGATAAGACTGCCCACAGAGTGAGTGAAGGTAAGGAAGAGGAGAGGTCCAAGACCTGAGCCTGGGGGTCTCCAGTGAGAAAAGGATACCAAGAAGGAAGGTGAGGACAACAGTCAGGTGCTACTGAAAGGTCGAGTGGTATGCGGAATGAGAACTGTCTGCTGGATCTGGCATTAGAGATCCTTAGAAGTCTTGACGAAAGCTGACTCTCTAGAGCAGAGGACACAAAAGCTTGGCTGGAGTGGGTTCAATAGATTATGGAAGAAAAGGAAGTGGAGACAGAACAGCCAGTCCTTTCAAAGAGTTTTGCTGAAAAGAAGAGAGAAATGGAGCTAGAAGTGGATACGGAATCCAGGTAGGGTTATTTTGAGTGTGGGAGAAATTACAGCGTGTTTTATAGTGATGGAGAAAAATGAGTAAGGCAGGGACACAGGAGACAACTGCACAGGAGCAGAGATCTTGAGTAGGAGGGAGCGGATGGGATCCAGCACCCAACTGAACTGACGCTGAATTGGGAGCTGAATTACAGAACTTCAGATAGTTAGTTCATCCCTAGGGAAGGCCTAGTACCGAGGTACAGGAATGAGCCCCAGGATTCTAGTGTGTGGTGCCATTCATATACATTTACATGTAGTTTTATTCTTATAGCCACCCTGTCAGTTAAATAAAGTTGACTTTATTCCCCACATTATACAGAAGAGGAGCTAAAATACTTGAGAGGTTATGAGATTCACCCAAGGCCACACTGGGTGGGACAAGAACCTAAGTGTTCTATTTTACTGCCCAGGGAAGTTTCCATCAGAGTAAATTGCCTCCCTGTGGTTACTGCCATCAATGGGGGAAGGAACAATAAATCCCTAAATAGAAAGGGGCCAATTAAGAGAGTCAGGGGTTAACGGGAGAAAGAAAATGGAACCTTTCGTAAGTGCTTTGCCACAGGACACAATTCTGACAAGTAGTAATTTCTTCTAAGAATTATTAGACAAGAAGGAACCAGATGTGTTAGAAATCGGGGAGGGGGGGAGCCTAAAAGAACATCTCAGAATTCAGAGGGAAAAAGACACAGAAGAAATGAAATCCGAAAATAAAGGTCAGTGATATGGAAGAGAGATTCAGAAGCCCTAAAACATGTATCAAAGTGGAGAATAAAACAGAACAGCTGCAGGAAAACAAGGAAGAAAAGTGAATAAAAGAAGATTTTCCGGAGGAAATTAAATACTTGAATCTTTAAATTCAAAAGAATCCATGAGCGCTTATAAAAATTCACAAAGGGCCACCCTTAAAGGCATCCTGGTAACGATCCTGAAATTCTTCGTTACTCTGAAATGTCCATGGATTATTCAGAACTCATCATACAACACCAGGCGTGTTCCCTTTGGAGGCTTTGTGTTCTTTCTGGAATGCTCCTCTAGACAGCTACAGAGCTCACTTTCTCCCTTCATGAAGATTTCCTCTGAAACGTCACCTCTATGACCGAACTATTAAAATATTACCCTTTGCCATCCACTCTAGCCTTCTCTGCTTTCTTTTTCCTTATAGCACTCAGTGCTACTAAACATTACATTATGTATTTGCTTGTCAATTATTTGACTCTTCCCACTAAACTTCAAAGCAGAGATCTTGCTGGTTTTGTTCATTATTAGTCCCTCAGGACATAAAATACTGCATGGGAGGCACTCAAACTCTGCAATGAATGTACAAGATCACAACGAAAACTTTAAGAATTTATCAAAGTAGCAATTTCTCACCCTATTTCTTGTGGTCGTAAGTCAAAAAGTTCTAATTTGATAAACAGTTAATATAAAAATTAAATTGCTGTAGAAGTATTTCAAACAAATATAATATAGTTATATTTTGTGGGCACATAACATACAAGGCAGAAAATTAAAAAGAAAAAACAAATCTACTTGAGAAGATTTAAGAAATTCTACCCCCAAATACTAAAATCAAAATGAAAGGCAAATGATAAAATGGGGAAAAAAATGTCTTTAACTCACAGATAAATGACAAAAATACTTATTGGATAGTGCTTTTCAAATTAAATTTTCAGGAAAAAAGCAGTGATTTTAGATAAATGAGCAAAGGATATGCATGGGTCATTCACTAGATAATAAAGTGGCTTATCAACCAATCAAGAGTTTCTAAACTTCACTGGGGAGGGTGTAGCTCAAGTGGTAGAGCGCAT